CATGTGCACTTTTATACACTGTGCACTGTATTTCATTCCAATACTTTCCCTNNNNTCCGCTAATGTTATTACTACTTTTTTAAGAAGACTAATTTTTAATTAAAATTATTTTTACATATAATTCAAAATTATATATATATAGGCAACTAACACAGTAATCAACATGCAAACGTAATTCAATAATGTAATTTACATCGACATAAAAAAATAATAAATATATCTGCAAATGAGAAATCAATTAAATTCATTTATCAAAATTAAATTTTTATTGAATTTGTAGATTTTTATAAACAATGTACTTCGCTCTTTTCTTGCAACTTTTCCAAAAATTTAATATCGATGAAAATACATGCACTTAGCAGTAGTTTAAATGGCTCTTTAAACTGTAGATAATGTAACAACAATCTAAATAGAAATCAAGCAAAGTATTTGAGAAACAGAAATCAAGAAGTCGTCATTTCGTTCGGTTCGCTTTGATTTACATAAACGACTAGAAAGTTACAAATGCAGCATCAGTCCAAGCATTGATTATTCAAATATCTACGGATGTTCGAGAATAAGAAAAAGGAGAACGACTACGAGGACAGCCAGTGTCCACTTAGTGCTCGCTATCATGAATTTAGTCGGGACGAATATTGGCGCGCTACTTGGGTGACCAGTGCCAACGAAACTTCAAGTACCCGCGTTATTTAAGGGGATACGAGATACGTACATTCGGGTTCTATCGTCGACCACTAGAGATTCCATCCGCCATAAAACGGAGAAAAGTGGAAACTTCCCTTTCGAGAGAAGGAGAGAGCAAGGAGATATTGCAGAGGTCTAAAGCCGTCCCGTTCGTCCTTTTTTCCTTCCTCACTTCAATGTTCCGCACCCCTTTCCTTTTTTTTTTTTTTTTTTTTTTTTAGGCGGAACTAGACAGTATTCATTCTGTTCACATCCTGAATATGTCATATATATCATCATATATAATATATATCATTTGTCATATATATTATATGTCATGTTAGAATTAATCAAAAGCTCAATATGATAAATTTCGGTAAAAATCATACAGTTATTCTTTTATCTAGTATCATTCTACGTATGAATCAACTTCAGTTTTGCAATCTTTCTTTTATATCATTTTTTTTCTTTCACGGAATTCCCGTACAAAAACCATCGCCATAGATCTACAACAGCTCTTCAATTTTTCAACTAGATATTCTTGATATAACCGCTTCAAAACGTCGGGAGCAATTCTTTTAACTGATCCCTGACATCTTAAATCTCGATATCTTCTCTCGCGTAAATCTCGAAAACTGCGTCCACTGCGCAGACAAGTATTGACAGAAAAGCAGTGACAGCCTCTCGCTTAAAATCCAATATGAAATTAATATTCTGCCGGAAGTAATTTATTACTATTATTACAGTTCTAAAAGAAGGATATGAGTTATAGATCCCGCATCTTCTTAAAATACTGTGTCCTATATTTGTGATATGCTATCTTTTTTACCGTAATATAAAATAAATCATTTTTAAAATAATTAATATAATAGTATATAATATGTTCAAAAATAGTTTTTGTTCTGATTTTTCAATTAAATCGCTTATATAAATCCAAATTTACTTATCCGAGTTAAAATTTTATTTTCCAATAATCTGGTACAATTAATAAATAAAACATGAGAAATAAAGCGAGAATAAATTAATATTTTTAGAAGATTTAAATTTTTTCGATATTTAATTAATCTATGAAAATCTTATTTGTTCATAATGAAAAGTTTTGCATGTTCTGAGTAGGATTATAAAACTGCAACAGTTAGACAAATAGATATATCCCTTTTTTGTATGGTAATATGATTTATCTGCATATTTATTTGATATACAAAATGCTTGCTAACTTGAAAGTTTGTAAGATTCACAGTTTGATGTATATAATCCTTAAGCAGAACTATTTTAAATACAATAACAGTATACAGCGTAACTATGTGTTTAAGTGCATTAATATAACATTTATTTATTGTAATAATAGGAAACAACGGTTTCGTATAAATTTGGTATTTTTTCAAGCTCTTTTTTGATAAAGAAATAGTATCAGAACAATAAAGATTAATAAATTTATCAAATTAGCGAAAAACATATAAAAGTTTCTATATCCTTAATAAAATAAAAAAAAATTTACAACCTTGGGATAATATACTAACGACCACAATATCAAGATGACAGAGACTGACTCGTCATATCGTATAGTTTATAATTCTCAGTTATTAATCCGCGAAACGATCGGCGATCAAAGACGGCAAAATCATTAAAAGTTTACAATTCCGCAAGCGCCAGAAGTGCAGATATTTCAATCTTTTTCTTTTTACGAAATAAGCATTCTAGAACAAACAAAATTTTTTTAAAGCCGACCATATATATATATATATACGCGCGTCCGGATTCCGGCGCGGTCGGTAGAAAATTTCGAGTTTACCCCCGAATTTCTTGTTGATCTTTCATCTCCCGGCTCTCGGGAGCGGCGAGTTATCGGAAATTCAGTGAAGTAAAAAGTTACTAGATTCGTGCGATAAATCTAGTTATTCGATCGCCAAGTGGTTCTCGCTAGATAAGAATAAAGTTTCGCAGGAATACGTCAGAACTGCCGTTGACCCGACATATAGAACTTCGATTTAGGCACGTTCGCGTAATCAGCTGCCTAATGAGCCGAATCTAGAACTACAGGCTGTTTCCATAATGGCGGATCTTCGACCAGGCACGTCCGAAGGATCATAAATCACAAACCATTTTCGAAGAGGGGCAGAACTAGCGAATTTAGATATTTTCTTGCCGACACAAATTCTTGTTCGATCTGGAATACTGAGATATATGGATCGTTCGTCGATAAAAGTTTAGAGGAAATTTCTACAGAATTTTTAGTCGCTGTAATACCGTCGCTACTGCGCTGGTATATGCTCGATACTTGAAAGTAGTTACTTACTTTTATTGCCGCGCGTAAACTGACACGTAATTTCTGCAAGCGCAACTCTCGAAAATGTCGAACTTTAAACATATCGGTTGTATGTGAAATTGCGACTATAATACGTTGGTAAATAGCTTTCTCAAGACTGTGCAAGTCGTGCAATCACGTTAGGGTCAGGAACGTATTAAGACTTTAACTGTGTACGACGCATGAATCGACCACTTAAAATGGAAACGCCGGAAAAGTCATGCCTGAGGGGTTAAATTGGAACATCGTACACTCAGTAGAATCAAATCAGTTTGGCTCGATATAGCCCAATTTCGAGAAGGAATATTTCGATTAAGGTACTAAGAATTTGCAAAGAGAAAGTAAAATCAGTGTTAGAAAGCAAGCTATCAAATTATTTTGAGGATTATGATTTCTCAAGTTTTTGTTGCATTTCTGCATGGAAATTCTGATATTCATATCATAATTTTACTATCTGAAACTAGGATAAAGCCTCAAACTTTATCAAAAGTGTTTTTTTTTTTTCGTCAGTAAATATTAAGTCATATATATGTATATGTAGCTCATATCTTTTTTTATTACTTACGTTTTTCTAAATTTAGTGTTTTAATATGTTAAAGCTTTCATTAATATGACAAGAAGTTTTTAATTTAAGTTTTTTTATAACACTAATTAAAATTAGGATTTAAATGAACTAAAGAATGACTTCATTACTTGTATATATATATACGGCAGCAACGGGCAAGTTGTGCCGACATTCCGGAGATACTGAGAATAACGTTCGCCAAGCAATAAAGAGATAATGCCGAGCTTTGAGAAAAGAAGAGAACGTCCCTCGGTAAGTTCTTAACGGGACGTTCTGCCGTTCTGAGAGAACCTTCTATCTCCGAACGAGGCAATTACAGGCCGTGGTTTACCGGTCGCGTTTACACCCGTAGCCTGCCTCTACCGTATAGGCTAAGCTCCACGGTACGATCGTAAACTTAGCTGACGGGGTTCAACCTCTTTGGCATTGGCGTTCGATATCTCGAGCAGCTCGGGCGTCCTGCTTCGACCACGTCGTGAAACCCGGTCGACCTCTTTCATAGTATCAGTAAAAGTAATGCCGAGGGACGAGTGGGGAGGAGGTAAAGGATACGTGAGAGATCTATCGCGCGCGTCGGTGGAAGTAGATACTTTCAATAATAGCTTTCCCAAGGCCCCACATGCGTGTTGTTTCTTATATTGCTATCGGGATCATATACGATCACCGCTGGATGTCGCAAACGGAATAATCATTTCGCCGCTCGCTGATCGTTTTTTGATGAATACATCCGTATGCGCGACTTCGATGCTACTCATTCTTTATGCACCGCCAATCATGATTACAAGCGAACGGGACTTATGCATCGAGCAGCACAATTGTGCCGTATTAATTGATAATAAAATAAACGCGGCAAAATGTAGCGCTGCGTGTGCATAGCCAATATTTCCTGAATCGTTTCCTTAATTAAGAAATCATTTTGCTCGTCGTAATTTATAGCAATAAAACATTATTTTATTAATGTCTGATGCGGAATGAATTAAGCGCAAGAACTGAGGAAAATGGGTACGCCAACGTTAAATTAAAATAGGTTGTGATATAGCAAGCGTTATATGTGTGCATAAAGTAAACTTGTTAAACTTCCACACAATTTCGAATTTTATATTCGGTAAAAGTAATTAATCTCCCGGCATGAACAAAATCAAAACAAGGACAACCTAGTAAATATAATTTAAAAATTCGCAATATATATATGCAAAACTCGTTAGCTCATACTATAATTGAATTCTCACAATAAATGTTTTTAAACCATTTCTCATATTTTTCCGATACAATATGCAAGAATCTTGTACAAATAATCATTTACCAGCAGTTTCCATTATGAGTTCCTATTGTGAGTCAAGAAAGACAATTTATATTCAGGAATTTGTCGTAGCTGCAATTATTAACGCTTGACTCGGTTTATTTATACTTATCGATATGTTCTACAAATGAATAGAAATTAAAATGTGCTATCTTTTTGTCTCACAGCGAACGCAAAGCCGCTCACGTTCGATGAAGTTTACAATCAAAGTAGTCCGACCAACTGCACGGTATACTGCGGCGGATTGACCAACGGTTTAACAGAAGAACTCATGCAAAAGACGTTCTCGCCTTTCGGATCCATCCAAGAAATTCGAGTGTTTAAGGATAAAGGCTATGCATTCATCAGGTAACTATATATTTTAACATATTAAACTTTCCAATATAATTACATACATTAATATACATTCTCAAACTTGCCTATCACTGATCAATAAAAATAGAAAATTGTCTTTTAAAAAATGTTTCTTGAATAAAATTCATATAATGTATTATTAAATTTTAAATAAAAATGTAAAAGAAGAAATATTTTTTCTTTTAACATAATGGTGTCATACTACATATTAAATCTGTTAAATCTCAAAATAAAATCTCATATTATTATCTCTCTTGCAGTTTGCCCTCGTTATATGCAAAAAAAGAAATGATAATTTTAAATTTTGAAATCCCCGAACTATCAACGATGTTGTTGAAACGTAGGGCAGGTACATAGATGTATGTCGTGAACAGTAGCTTTTCAAATTGTCAATGTAACCTGAAAGGGGAAATTCCCTAAGGGAATCACTGACTATACTCTAACTATAGATTACTGACATTCCGAATCAGAGATTGTCGTTTACTATTTCGTGAACGTAGAATGCACTTTGGAATTGACTTACGAAAACTTAATCAAACAATTTCCATGTATATAATGTGCACTCACACATATACACACACCCACATACACACACATACACAAAATATACACATATATTTATAAAAACAATACATATGTTCGTAAATATATGATGTTAAATATGTATGATTTTTAATCTTTTGTTTCAACTTTTTCGGATAAAATGAAGATAATTTACACATTTTTAATTTTATGATAGCATTAACTATAGAATAAAAAATAAGTTACAACATTAATAAATATTATTATGCTAATGGGGTATTGTATCTATTAATACATCATCATATTGCCATGATGCACTAATTATTTCGCTACGTTGCGTTTTTTGCAATGGGATTACTAAAAGTAGTAACTACTCTAGTTATTTTCTTTTTGCTTATCATAAAATTAGCATGATATTAGCAAATTATATTGATTAGCGGATACATCCTATGTGCAATTCATATAAATTTACATTTTTACGAAAAAAACCCACGTATTAAAAATAACTGACAATACTTAATTGTAGCTGGCTTAAACCATTAAAGATCATTAATTTTCTTTATATATTTCTAACATAAAACAGGAACATCTTTAAACTACTAAATTATTTAACAGATTATATTGTTTTTTTTATATTCTATTTTCTAAAAAAACATATACTTAAAAAAACTTTAAACATTCATTTTCTTATTTCTTTCATATAAAAAGTATGTGTGTATGTGTATGTATAAATTTTATTATCACAATAATCTATTATAACTTCTTTTTTTTGATAAAACAATGAATATAAGTTTCATGGATTATCACTCTACATCTTAATAAATTGACGTAATTAAAAGCCCTTTTATTCCATCACCGTTTAAATTACAAAATGATTTATCGATCACTAGATTTCACAAAGAAAACTTAAGACTAATTTTCTGAATGTGAAGAATTAAATAAAATTTTAGTATAAAACCTTTGAAATCATTTCACTAATTATATGTATAATCAAACCTCGTTAATTATTCAAACTTTTTACTGCCTTATGAAAAACAAAAATATAGAATAAAAATTTAATATACTACTGCAATACATTGTTGTAAATTTAATCAAACTTTTATTTAAGTATTCCTTGCCGATATATGTCATAATAATATAATTTATCATTTTTCCTTTATTCCCTGAAGTGCTCAAATACTCGATCTATTCTTACTGAACATAATAAAATTTCCCAGAATATTAAGCAAAATAATACGTAATCATCTCTAATAAATTTCTAGAATGTATAATTTTTATAAGATATCTGTCTCGAATAAAATAAAATGATAATGAAATCAAATATAATTTTATCAAAAAATATTATAACAACCGATTGTCAAGAAAAGTTACATCATCATTAAAATAAATTTATTATTTATATTATTTTTCGAAATCATTACACAAGATCGATATGATATGCTTACTTCAATGACCATCCAGATAAATTTATCACAAAATCGAACAATCTGACTTAAGGCAAATCAAGTAAAATCAATGTATATATGTATATAAAGAATAGATTTGCATACAAAGCGAGTGGATTTTGAGCGTGTAACATGGTTATAACATGGGCAAAACTTGAGAAAATTTTTAAAATCATGTACGATGATTGGTGCTAACGTAATCATCAAACGACATTTAACGAAATATTAGGAAATCGTATGAATAGTACACCAATACCCACCGTCGCCTGTGATTTATGGCACGAAACGCGAGAACATGTCGGGTCAATGGCAGCATGTCGGACTCATCAAGCTCGGATCGTGGCCATTTCATTAATCTACCCATTACATCCACGCAGATCATATATTTCAGTTCAACTCCACGTATCCGACAAGATCAGTTATGTTCGTTTCACAAAAACATTAATAAAGAATTGTTAAAATCGAAATAAACATAATATTTTATAACATATATATAGATTTATACATAAACGAAGATGAACTATCACAATTTAAAAAGTAGTTATAAATTTCATCGTAATTATAAATTTATCGTGATCGTGTCGATATCTTCAAACCATAGAAAGAAAAACCTAACAATTTAAGAAATCAGCTGAGCATTTATATCTCCCGAAAGCGAATTCAGCGCTCTACCTTAACGATGGCTAGGGATCCGTGACCTACCTTAGAAAAGACTGCCGAGAGCGTGGGAGGGTTGCTCTAGAACGAACGATAAGAGGGAGGAGGAGGAAAAAGCCTAGAGGGAAACAGGGACGGAAGAAGGAGACAAAAAACCCTTTCTTATATACGTATGTCTCCCTCCCCTTATCTACTTCTTATCCTTTCTCGCGCACGTTGCTCGATATCATTCTTGCCCGTTCTTAGCCAATACGATAGCCTCCACCCGCTTCGTACGTCCGCCACAGTTCCGCCACCCCTAGACAATGTCCGTCGTTCAGATATCTTTCGTCTAATTGCTCTTCCTCCCTCCGTTATTCTGTAGCGTGGAACTCCGGAAACGAATATCTCGGGATGACGTATGGACTTACTGCAAGGTACAACGAGGAAGCAAGACGGGAAAGAGGATAAGGGAAGGAGGTCTTTTCTTCTCCCGTGAAAGAAAGAATCTTATCTGCCGCTGGTTATCGCTCGAGGTTCGGTCTTAGAGGGAGGAAGGGAGGGGGGGGATGATTGGTGCTAACGTAATCATCAAACGACATTTAACGAAATATTAGGAAATCGTATGAATAGTACACCAATACCCACCGTCGCCTGTGATTTATGGCACGAAACGCGAGAACATGTCGGGTCAATGGCAGCATGTCGGACTCATCAAGCTCGGATCGTGGCCATTTCATTAATCTACCCATTACATCCACGCAGATCATATATTTCAGTTCAACTCCACGTATCCGACAAGATCAGTTATGTTCGTTTCACAAAAACATTAATAAAGAATTGTTAAAATCGAAATAAACATAATATTTTATAACATATATATAGATTTGTACATAAACGAAGAGGAACTATCACAATTTAAAAAGTAATTATAAATTTCATCGTAATTATAAATTTATCGTGATCGTGTCGATATCTTCAAACCATAGAAAGAAAAACCTAACAATTTAAGAAATCAGCTGAGCATTTATATCTCCCGAAAGCGAATTCAGCGCTCTACCTTAACGATGGCTAGGGATCCGTGACCTACCTTAGAAAAGACTGCCGAGAGCGTGGGAGGGTTGCTCTAGAACGAACGATAAGAGGGAGGAGGAGGAAAAAGCCTAGAGGGAAACAGGGACGGAAGAAGGAGACAAAAAACCCTTTCTTATATACGTATGTCTCCCTCCCCTTATCTACTTCTTATCCTTTCTCGCGCACGTTGCTCGATATCATTCTTGCCCGTTCTTAGCCAATACGATAGCCTCCACCCGCTTCGTACGTCCTCAACGATCGTGGATGGAAGCTCGATAGATGGAAAGGGGCGAACTCCTGGACAGAGCTGCCATTGTGTAATGTTGAACGCGAACGTTAAAAGTGATCTAATCCTCGATAAATTCAATAATTCTCTGCCACGCTCGTGTACCTTGCCGAATTCGTCGTGTTCTAATCACGTTCTTAAAAACGCGCGTTCTTGTCTTTTAAGACGAAGACGATCATTTATGGCGAGGTTACAAACCTCGTATATTTGAATAATTAAAAAGCGCTATACGTAGAATTAAAATTAATTCTTATATTTAAATATTCATTTAACAGAAACCGTAATATCTAAAGCAATAAAAAACATAATGTAAATATCGCCAGATAAAAATTCAAAATGCTTACTCAAATACCTCGTTCTCTCATTTTCACGTTGTTCATTTTTTAAATTTCATTTGTCGAAGAAGCAGAACATTGAAACATATAATTCATTCATTGCAATAAATAATCTATATTACTTATTGTAATAATAATAATATTTGTTTATCTAAAAAAAGTGTATACTATCATACCAAAATAGAAACTAAACTCGCGTAACCGGTGTGTTGAATTTAACATTGAATGCTTGCATCTACAGTAATCTAGATTCGTCGAGATTCACAATTACCGTGCTCATTCGTGCGCGCAGTAAACTCGCATAAATTAAATTGCACTATTCGCAGAGAGGCTATTTCGTTAAGCTACCATAATAAGGTCCAGTTTACTCGTGGAAAGAGTACCTCATTTCTCCGGAGATTTTTCTTTTTATACACATCATCGCGCCGTACCAACACCAACATCAACGTTGAAAAGGATAGAAAAGTACTGACAAAAGACTTAAATCCCCTTCTTCTTTTTCGATTTCAGGTTTTCTACCAAGGAGTCGGCCACGCACGCCATCGTAGCGGTACACAACACAGATATCAACGGTCAAACGGTGAAGTGCAGTTGGGGCAAGGAGAGCGGAGATCCTAATAATGCTCAACAAACTGGACAGGTAAACTCTCTCTTTATCTTTTACTTTTATCCTCTCTATCGGAAGGACGGTTTCGACGTAAAATTCCGCCCTCTGTGCTTTCCAACATTTACATCACTGCTCGTATCAAACCAGAGGACTTTCCTACCTTCTTTCATGAATAAACATTGCTGCTGATTTTGTTTCCGATATAATGCATGAGAAGAAAAACAGCGACCTTACGCGCATCAGTGAATATAAGTCACAAGCTGTATTGTAGAAAGAATGATTTGAAAGAGAATAATATATACTCTGGCATTAATATCAAATTTAATCTCTCTAATGTCTATGTGCACGTAAGCGTAAAGCGATGTAACACGACAGAATTTTCTCTCAATATACATATAAAAGCTTGCCGTCGTTATATGTGTTACTGAATTAAATAGCGCACACTCACGTCTCTAAGAAGCGAGAGCGTTCAAAGAAAGAAGTAGTTACCAGATTCGATTACGGCCGGTTCCTTCCGGTTTCACGCGGCTAAAGTGTCTCTATCGATATATCGGTATATGGTTCGAAAGTCCGGCGAAAGAATAAAGGCGGAAAGAGAAAGAAAGAAACAGAAAGAAAGAGAGAGAGAGGAGAGAGATGAAGGAAGGAAGAGCAGACAGGGAATCGTGCAAGATTCCGGTCTATTCAGGTGCCTCTCTTCGAAGTGTGTCGGGCCGGGTCTCTTAGCAATTAGCTCCGTTAGGACGGGTAGCTACGCCCGATCTGGGAATGGTACCCGAAGTACTTCCTAAACCCGCTCGCACTCCCCGGTAGTACTTCCGTGCATCCATCCACTGCTACTCGGCCCGTGACATCGCTCTAATTGATCTCTATTCCCATAACGCGCTTCTCCCAGGGGAGCCGAGATATCACGTTAGTACGTATCCTGCCATACCCTGTTCTCGTATTCAACGGAATCGAACTGGTTTGCGTGATATCCGAGTTCATCGTGCCGCTTTAACGAAGAGCATAATGGCTGCACATTATTTCCATAAATCCCATTGAAAATGCTGATTATTAAAAGACCGACACACATATAAATAGCCCGTTTAGCAATAACATTCTTCTTTCAATATTCTTAAATTTAAGAGTTTTTCGAGCTTTATCGGAAAACAGAAAAGAATCATTTTCTCTTGTATTATACAGAAAAATTGAATACATATATAAATTGAATTATTAAATATTTAATTGAAAACGTACACGTTGTACAAAAATTATTTTATGATATTTCAGCAAAATAATTCAATTTTATTTCTCTCTATATATATATATCATAAAAGAACGAATAGATTCGCATGCAACGAGATGCAACGAAATAATAAGAGATAATTTACGTGACGGCAATGAAATGATCGCGTTGAGATTCACGCGTCGCCCATTTTAAACGAACGACCACACAAATCTTCGACGAAACGAAATTACCATTCCTGACCCTATCGACATCGTTAAGCATAAAATCCAGACAATGTTCTTGCTCTTTTCTATTTCATTGATCCTTGTGCTCTTTCAGGCGTTATCGTCGGCGACGTACCCATACTACGCGGCGGCGGCAGCTGCCGCCGCGGCGGCGGCGGGCGTCGCGGGTGTCGGAGGCGTCGGTGGCGTCGGCAGTGCTGGACAACTGGGATACTGGTATCCACCCCAATCTTATCCTACGACAGCAACACAAATGCAAGCCGGTGGCTTCCTTCAGGGCATGCAAGGATACACCTACGGCCAGTTCGCCGGATATCAACAGGCGCAATATATGGGGTAAGCTTTTCACACGAGATAAGTTCTTCTTTTCCCGAAGTTTTGCACGACAAAGTTTTGAATAATCGAAGATTCAAGTCTAATATAAATATATCATTCTGCCTTCATCTTTTCGCAACGTCTTGTTCAAGATGCAATGGATTATAAAACAATTTTACATCAAGCTAACTTTGAAATTCAGCAACATATAATTTGTACAAATATTCATAACTATTAGAATCCGTAAGACATTTGTTTTAATTTATATGAATATTATAATGAATTATATAAATGATTTATTGAATTTAAATAATTATCACACGCAATATACGTATATTAATAGAATTAATCAAACATAGCCGGTAACACAAAATATATTGCTTAAATAATTTTCAATCAAATTTATCAATTATTCACAAAAAAATAGTACCAATAGAATAATATTATATAATATATGTATATTTACGGTACAAATATAGATTATATCAGACGGAATATAAATCGTAACATTTATACATTTCTTTGTAAAAATTATATTGATTTGAAAATTACATATGTTTTACGAACGTAGAATGGGCATGGGTGTCCATGCTGCTGGCACAGCGGCAGGATGGGGTCAGGGATTACCTGGGGGACCACAGTTACCACCACACCACGCCACGACGGTCACGGCACCCCCAGGGGTGCAAGCCGCACCCCCGCCACCACCGCCTCCGGCACAAATGATGGCCTACCCGATGCAACAGTTCCAGGTAACCATTACTTTATCTGTCCCATCTGTATACGCGTGCAAGTGTGCATCGTACTTGAATGTGTGATGTTGAATAGGAGTGTTTCGCTTTTTACATACTTTTGCATCTTGTCCTCTGTTACGTCCAAAAGCAATTTCGTTGGTGCCGGTATTGGCTTGTAAATGTTGCACGTGGAAACTCGATTTGATATCAAAAAGATATCGAAGGCATGTGTCGGCAGAAGAGTGCGCATAGTATATACGTATATATTGTCGGTGATCTTAGGAAACCTCGTAAACTTGATACTGTATATCATTCGAGAGACCGAGCGATAGAACACGGTACGGTTCACGTGAAACAATTTTGCACGGATGAAACAGTAAACATAGCTACAGTATAACACGTATGATATAATTAGCTACACACATATATTCCGTAATATTCCGGCTTGAGTTACGTTCATTACGAGGTTACAGGAGTAACGGCGATATGCTAATTTCAACAGTTTATACCAGCATTATTTACGATGGTAGTTGTATATATATAATATGCAAAAATGAAAATATGCGTTTTCTCAAATTATATTGCAAAACAAAGATTATTTTCTCTGCCATGACTAATAATGAAATGCTTTCAATATATTGTGCGCTATGTTATTAATATTCAATTTTTCTGTCGCTAATTCAATCTACAAAATTATTTGTTCGCTATAGATAGAGAGAATAAAAGCTTGTTTAATCATTAATAAGAAATAGTGCTGTGTATAAATAAAATACAAATTATTATTAAATGAGCCATATGTGTTTATGCATTGAGGGTTGCGATATTATAAATGAACAGAGCTGAGTAAAAATAGAACATTCACCTCACATTGCATTATTTGTGCACATGCATATTAATTTGAAATTATAATAACATTAATAAAACGGTAAGTACTTTTCTTTTACATGTAAACATAAGTGATATAACAAGTTACTCATCTCTACTGCGTGAGTAAACGTATACTTATTGTTAGTCGCGAAAAATGCATTTGTTTTGCCATATGAAAACGTCTAATGACAGTTGCAATTATAGCGATTGTGTGGAGAATGTTTGTAGTAAGCATGTCTAATAGATTCATATAAATAATGATGAGAAAAAAAAACAGAAAAAAATTATACAACATTATTTCTATTATATCTTGAACCGAATTTCGAGAGATATTAATAGAAACTGAGTAAACGATTGCTAATTTTGTGTTAAGATATTCAAAAGATAAGGTTGGTATTATAATAGTAAATCATTCGTAAGATTAATAAAGTGTCGTGTAATATTAAACCATATTATATAATTTCTAATCTGTGATAAGAGACTGCATTTATACTAGCGGAGCAATTTTTATTTTTCTTACTCCAGACATTGATGGAGCAAGACAGACTCGTTTTCCCGCTCGACGAGAGGTTATAGGAGATTCTCGAGATTTAGATATGTTGCAAAAAATTTTGGTTCGTGGCAGTGAGGTGAAATATGATACTTATCGTAGTTGTTGTCCAGAAAAGTATACCTCGACCATTTTGCTTTCCGCACGAACTGCACACGTAAGAAAGTGCGCACTGTACACAGGCACATACCCGCCACCGCTAAAAACGACATTGCCACAAAAAATATGGAATATTTGAAAAGAGATCACAAGGATGGCTTCGGGCAAACGTAGCGAATGCATTTCAACTCAGCACCGCTTTTAATGCCCCGCGTTCTTTTTGCTTCAAGAACAATTTCTGAACTTGACAACTTGAGATCTCAAGATTGAAAATGACTATCTTAATTTAAAAGCTCGCTAAAAAATTCTAGTTCAAAATTTTTAAATTAACTCCGCTATTTTTTATATATTTTCCTTGCTCTCAATTATTAAGTAAACGGAAAACCTTTCAGAAATATGTTTTAAATTTATGACTTTATGCGTATTAATAGTAGCATTTTTTGTTATGCAAAACCATGTGCTCTCACGTATATATGCAAACATTATATCACATATTGTATTATCATTTCAAATGTAAATTTAATAATTTTTTTGGCGATGATTACGTACATTTTATATGATTGAATCAATCAATATAAGCCTATTCTTTAATAATTCCGGCTTATTATTATATGATTATATAAACAATGTATTTCTCAATTTATAAGATTAGAAAGTAAGTCGGATCAAGGTTAAAAGATCCTGCTTTAGAGAAAATACCCAGTTTTTGGGAATAAGAGATAAATTTTCAAGAGTACTAAGTTGAAGTACTGAATTAGTAAACGAGTATATATATATATA